TTTTTTTTTTTTTTTTATGTAACTTACAACTTACAAAATGGAAAATTTCTTATAACAATAATTATAACAGTTAGCTAAATATTTATATATATATAAGTTTATATGGAACACACACGATACGTAAACACGCACACGCACACACACATACATACGAACTGACAGATGCTACAAGTTAATATAGACATTAAAAGGTAAATAACATTTTAGCCACTACTTGGAAAAATATTTAATATATATATCAGATTATATTTATACATGAGAGCCTTAGCTTCTATGGGGGTATATAGCGGGTATAATGAGAAAGCTGGATGGGTGGGGAAGGCCCGATAGTTCAGTATATTCAATTATAACAAACTTAAGAACTAAACTCTTAGGCTACGCTCTTAGATACGTATCGCTTTAAGCTAAGAGTCTGCTGCTTCGTCTGCTCTCCATGGCGCACTTATGTTCCAAATGCCAACTGTGTCTCATATCGAAAATTGAGCGTTCAATTATAGCACACACATACACACTCATACACACACATGTACACATAGAATATTAAGAGGTGTTTGCTGCTGCTGCTGTTGTCGCGTTAAAGTGGCAAAAGCAATCGAAGTAGAAAATAACTAATACGACACGTTAGCCGGCCGTGCAGACTCAACTGGCCTGCAGGCAATTGTCTTGCCGTTCCGGGGCACGCCGGGCCACGCCGGGCCGGATTGGGCCGTAAGCCTAATGGCATTTGTGTCCTCAACTGAACTAAAACCCCATCAGCCCCGGCCCATCTATTCTTCCACCTACTCAACTGAGGCTAAGCACGTGCAATAAGCCAAACAACGCCACTGGCATGCTAAACAACACAGCAAAGGGGGTGGGGGAAGGGGAAGCCTGGGGCAAGTGCAAGTGGCAGCGATATGGGGCCGAAAGGGTTGCCCGCACACGGTCCAAACGGGGGCGAGCTGAGCTTAATAAAAATGTAAAGCACGTGGCCAGAAGGTAAAGGGTAGAGTCCAGGTGGGGCAGGGCCCAAAGGTGCAGGCGAAATAGTGCAGCATTCAACGTACATATGAAATGGCATAGTTCAACTGGCTGTTAACAGTTGCGGCGCCAAAAAGCAGACAATGTGGAATAAAGAGTCAGCAGCAAAGGCAAAAGAAACCACTCGCTCGACAGGACACGGCCAGGGCAGGCCAAACAAAGCCGAACCAAAACAAAAAAATGAAGAGAGAGAGAGAGAGTGAGAGAAGGGATTTGCACAATGTTTAGTCGCTGTTGCAGCAATTTTCTAGCATTACCCGGGGGCACAGGTGTGCTGCGAGCCACAGGACGTTGGCAACATGACGGCATAAAATGCACACAATTTTCAGTGATTCCTTTTGTCGGGGGGGACGCTGGCATAGGCGAAGGCAAAGGCAGAGCCAGGCCAAAGCCAAAGCCAAAGCCAAAGCAAAGCAAAAGCAAAAGCACTGAAAATAATATTAAAGGCCATTAGGCTCATATAGACAAGTTAAGTGGCTCTTTTTAGTGTGCCCCGCCTCCTGCCCGCCTGCTCCAGCTGCTGCTCTCGTTCTGCTCACGTTGTCATGTGCGCCATGTGAGTGTACAGCTGTGTGTGAGTGTGTGTGCTGGCAGTTTTTAGATTTTATTTTATGCCTGGGCTGTTGCCAAGGCAAAAGAAGTCATTAACGTGTCGTTGTCTTTGATGCTCATGCTCCTCATGCCTGAGCAGCAGCAGCAGCAACAAAACCGAAAAGAAAACCAAATTAAATTAGTTAACCACATGGCAACTTTTGTCTGCCAAGCGACACAAAGAGTCAGAGAAACGAAGAGAGAGAAAGAGAAAGAGAGAGAGTGTGAGAGATAGACTGCTGAAGGCAGGTACCACTAATTGTTGCATGTTATGTTTTTTGCTTATCTTCGGGGCTAGCCTCGAGCGCAGTCAGCTCGAAATGCGCCCTAGACAAGTAATTGTATTTTAAATGTTAGCCAAAGGTGAAAAGGCCAGCCAGCAATGTCGCGTCTATAAATTATACAAGAAATGATTAACAAAAAAGCACAAAGAGAGAGAGAGAAAAAAAAACAGAGAGTAGAAACTGTTGTCAAAGCTCATGTGTTGAGCAGGTTGCTTTGCTTCTATATTATTCTTTTTACTTTCCTCTATCCCATTTTTGTTCCCTTTTTTGGCTTTTGGCTGGGCACTTTTGCCAATTGACATGTAAATTGACATTTAATGGTTGCTAATGAGCGTCTGAGGATTAGCTGCGCGCCAGACGAAGCTGCAGCCATTAGCATAGGTGCCAAACAGCCAAAGTAGAAGTGGAATGGAAACATTGTTGAGGCTGATGCATAAGAGACAGAAATCTATATATATATGCATATATATAGGCATACTTAAGCAGGAATAGTTACAACTGACACTTTCAGTTATGCATTAAGTCAGCTTAGCAATATTTTGCCATCGAAGGCCTTTAACATGACAAACAGCTTGCTGCAGCTAATAAATCATTAAGCAAACAAATAAATAGTCCATTAATTTTCACAGCTTAGCAGAGAGAAAAAGCGACTCAAGAGGACGTTGCACGTCGCTCTAATGCGACCAATTCATATTGAAAACTCTTAATCAGATTATGATGGATGGCTGCTTGAGAGAGAGAGAGAGAGAGAGAGGGAGAGAGCCTAGGCTAGAGCTCCAAATGCAATGTAAATATATTCAAGTTATTAATTATTTTGTGGCCAGGCCCAAAAGCTGTTTTCTAATTACAAACTGAGATCTTTCGGTAAAGTCTTCAATAACATTTGCTTAGCAAGAATTGATTGAAATACGAGCAGGAATAACACAAACACAAATGCCTCGTTCTCCCTCTCTCTTCCTGTCTGCATTTTGTTTGTTTTGCCATAAATTATTGAAATTGTAATTACTTAGGCCACGCAGGTGGGCAAAATGAGCAAAGCCCCATTATAAGCAGCTATTTGACAGCATTTTAATAACATGCTCAATGTTATCTCTCACATATTTATTTATTTTTTTGATAATGCATATTTAATTAGTTGCACGCTTGTGCATTTTAGCTACTTAATTTTTGATGTGATTGATGATGCATTAGCTATGAAAATGCTTTAATGTTATTAGGCATTGAAATTGAATTCAATTGAAATAGGTTTCTCGTTTCCCAAACTAAATCCTCGGAGTATCATATTCTATTCATATGCCGCACTGCCACGTCCAGAAGCTGGCGCTTCTGCACTCTGATATCATTTTTATGACAGTCTGCCTGGCATCCTGGCTGGCACTCGAGCTGCCGAGGTGTCAGTATTTATACAGCAAATAAGCTAAATTTTTCCTTTATGACTCCCACAACGGCGCAAACAGTCGGCGGATGAATGCGAATACGAATGTGAATGTGAATGTGAGTGCTGGCTACGTTGCCAGACAATTGTGTGGCAATTGTCAAAAGTCTGCCCTGTCAAATGACTGAAATTGCCTTGCCTTGCCCTTGCCAGCGCCCGCTCCCCTCGGCCCGAGTCGTCTAAACTTGCGCTGACGTTTATATATGACTAGTGATAAGTCAGCGTCAGCCAAGACGTTGACACCAACTGCAACCGGCTGCTGACTGCTGTCTGCCTTTGTCCCTTTCCCTCTCCCTGTCCCTTTCTCACTCCGGCCTGTGTTTCGTGTCTCATTTTGCGCTTTGTTGTTATGATGCCATGGAATCCTTTGGGTGTCTTTGGGGCCTTAAAGCGCACAGTTTATTTGTCAGTTGGAAATTTACAGTAATAAGCGCAAAGTTGAGCATAGGCTGGGGACCCGAATGACAACGGGAATGTCGTGCAGCTGACATGTAGCATCCTCGAGTATGGCAACGAAGGGCCTAGGCTGTTCCACCTCCTCTTGGCATGGGCGTGGGCTGGCCGGAGCTCTCTAAGTAGTTCAAAAGTTCCACAGAGTTTTGAGAGGCATCGGCATTGGCATTGGCATTGGCATGCCGAAAACGAGCGCTAAAATGCGCCTAATTGTTAATTAGTGTCAGGGTGAATTAGTATTTACAGCGTGGCAGCAGACAGACAGACAGTCAGTCGGACGGA